CCTCTCTCGCTGTGTCTCTCTCTGTCAAATAAATGAATAAAATCTTTAAAAAAAAAAAAGATTTTATTGTCAGAGAGAAAGCACAAGCAGGGAGAGCTGCAGGCAGAGGGAGAAGCACGTTCCCCACTGAGCAAGGAGCCCAGTGCGGGACTCGGTCCCAGGGCCCTGGGATCATGACCTGAGCCAAAGACAGATGCTTAACTGACTGAACCACCCAGGCATTGCGATCGTCCTTTTTTTAAAGATTTTATTTGAGATAGAGCGAGAGTGAGAGAGCACAAGCAGGGGGAGGGGGAGAAGGGGAGGGAGAAGGAGTCTCTCCACTGAGCCAGGGAGCCCGACTTGGGACTCATTCCCAGGGCTCGGGGATCATGACCTGAGCTGAAGGCAGATGTTTAATCAACTGAGCCACCCAGGCACCCAGATTTGTCCTTTGAGATGTCTCTTATCTGACCCTTACTTTGCATTTTCCCTGTCATTAGAACAGGTTTTGTTGCCATACATATAAGGCTGATATTTGGTGGTTAGAATACAGAAAAAGACTCATTATAAAGGACCCCACAATAATGTGAATTCAGATATAACGCAATTGGCGTTCGGCTCCTCAAACCGTCCCCACCTCCAGCTGGCTACTACAGACTTCCTCTGATTATTCCATTAATCTTGTAGTAATGCAACCTCACATTTTATGTGATTGAATATACTGGACCTTAACGAGTGGTATGGCTTATTTTTACTATATACTAGCTAGTAAAATATATAGTAGTGCAATAAGCAATAATGTTAGTAATGTAAGTTTCAGTATTAACCCATTGAGTTCAAGTTAATTGTGTAGGATGTTTTATGACCATTAATTAATGGGCATCTTTTCACAGAGATGTCTGGAAGACACTTGTAGCACTAGCTGTTATATTTTGTGCGTTCTTTTCTTTTTTTTTTTTTTAAGATTTTATTTATTTGTCAGAGGGAGTGAGCATGACCAGGGGGAATGGCAGAGGCAGAGGGAGAAGCAGGCTCCCCACTGAGGAGGGAGCCTGATGCAGGACTCGATTCCAGGACCCTGAGATCATGACCTGAGCCGACACTTAA